TATTAGAGATAATATCCTATGTGTTAGGCGGAGGCTAGTTTGAGATTTTCCGAGTACGAGACTTTACTTACTAGCTTACGAGGTGAGTCTTCTCACTATACTTACCATGAGTGGTACCTTTGTGTGATTGAGATGTTTATTGTGCTTATCTGTGTATCTTAATATTTTGCATCATGTCTTGTGATTTATGCTGAGTATTGTTATTATGAGCTTATTGAGTTGGGACCAGAGGGTCCCACTGAGACACATTGACCGAAGGGTCTTATTGATTTATATCCTAGAGTGGCTAATGAGATGTGTGGGTGGTATTTGGGGAACTCACTAAGCTTCTGCTTACCGTGTTATGTGTTTCAGGTACTTCTCAGGATCACGGAAGGCGCCGACTTGATTGTACACACACCGCGTCAGAGATATGTTTTTGGAGGATCCTGATTTGTGTTATAAACAGTTTTTGATACATGTGTTTTGATAACTTGATGTTTGGTGGAAATTGGAGTTTGAAATGAGATATTTGGGTTTTTTTAAATGAAAATTTACGGTGTTACATTCTAGAGACGCTTTAGAGTTATTTTTAGCCTTTATTGAATAGTTTTTTTTTTTTTTTATTAATTTCCTTTTTATTTTTGTAATCGTGTTAGGCTATAAATTAGCCCCAATGTCGCACATTTTGAAGCATAATTGAATGAATTTTGAATTGAAGAACTTTTGTTCTGTGTTTGGTGAGTTGTGTACTCCCCCTTTGATATTCTAGGACATGTATTCTAGGTTGATTCAAATTCAAATCAATAGGTCTTGATTTGTCTTCATCGATACTCAATCTCTTAGTCTAATTGGTTTATAAATCTATCCTTTTTTCTGTTTCTTGTCGGCAAGTTATCAATGTTCTTGTTTTCTTGTCGTTATTCTAATTTTTCCAATGCGTTCATAAAATCAGAAACCCAAAAAGAAATCAAACCCCCCATAGTTGTATCATATTTGGTATCAAAGTGTCATATTCGTATCATATGTGGTATTGAATCAAAGCTAAAAATTCCTACATAGTTTTGTTTGAAGATTTCAGTTTCGATTTGCTGTTTGTTTTGGTGGAATTCGATTTGCTGCTGTGATTTTCGTATTTGATTTTTTCTGCCCAGATTTGTCTGTTGGTGTGTTGAAATCACATTAGGAGCAATGAATTTTGAAGATCCAAATTTTATGAATGCCTTGCGAGAAGCTATCCGTGGATTGTAAGAAGAAGAAAGGCGACATGATAGGCATGGACTGTTAAGGATTATTGAAGATTGCAAGATAAACGAATTTCCCGGGTTCATGGTGGAGTCGATCCAAAAAGTTCTTTGGAGTGGGAGAGAAAGATAGACCAAATTTTTGAGTACAATGAATTGGACGATGATAAGTGTTGTAAGTATGAAATCTTGAAATTGAGTGGAGGAGCCTCGCTTTGGTATAGAGGTTTGAAGACTAGGAGAACTCGTGAAGGAAAAGAAAAAATTACTTCTTGGGTGTCCTTGAAGTAGAAACTTCGGAAGCGATATGTGCCGGTTCACCGTAGGACGACCACTGAGAGGAGGATGGGCAAATTTGAAGCAAGGGAGTCGAGTCTGGGGAATACATTAATGAATTCGAGAAGTTATCGCTATTGGGAGACGTTGAGGAAGTAGAAGAACAAAAGATGGCTCGTTTTTTTCGTGTGCTGAATTATAACATCTCTGGTACGATGGACCTTCCCTTACTCTTATTTTGATACACTTTGTGTCCTTTTTTTGATGTTTGAAGCCCAGACGAAAAAGGGTTATGAAGTGAATTCTAGTTTGGAAGTTGCGAACACCAAGACTGACGCCTCTACTTCTGTAGATGTGAATGGTTATTCGGCAGTTGGTGCGAAAGGTTCATCGTTGGTTCATAAAACAACTGTTCCACCAGCCAAAAGAGACGAAGGAGTTCAGTTTGTCGAAAGTATGATGTTTCAAGTGTCAAGGTTTTGGACATTATTAGAATGTTTGTCCAAACAGAAGGGTGGTAACATTGATAGATATTGTTGAAGTTCGTGATAAGTTACATGTGGAAGAAGAAAGAGTTAATAATACTTTTGTAACTGAAGAAGCATGTGAAAGGCGAAAAAGAAGAGGAAAAGTATGTAGTGCCAAATTATGATACGATTTTGGTTCTTAGATCATTGCAAACATAGGTGGTGCAAATTGATTGCGATCAAAGAAACCAATTGTTTCATACAAAGTGTCGTGTGAAGGATAAGTTGTGTAGTTAATTATAATGGTGGGAGTTGTACGAACGTTGCTTCTACTGAGATGGTTGCGAAGTTGGGTTTAGTTACTGTTGATCATCCTACACCATATGCAATTCATGGTTGGATAGTAGGGACAAAGTAAAAGTAACAAAACAGTTCAAGGTTGGTATAGCCATGAGATTATATGAAGATGAAGTTGTGTGATGATTCCAGTGGATGCTTGTTTAGTTCTTTTTGGGACGTCCATGACAATTGATAAGGATGGTGATACATAGAGAAAGAAGCAATGAATACGAGTTGAGACATAATGGCAAGAAAATTGTGTTATCGCCTATGTCTTCCACTGAAATGAGATTGATGCTTAACAGAATCCAAGAAGCCAAACCTCGCCATGTTGGTTAACAATGGAGAAGTTAAACATGGTTTTGATCAAGAAGATACGATGGCTAAGGAGGATCAAAGGTGAAGGAGATTGTAAAAGTAGAGAACTTGGATGTGATTAGACAAAGAACAAAATGGAGTCTGTGAAAGTTGATTCTCAACCATTTCTTAAGATGAATGCTCAATCTAATGTTCGTTCGATGCCAAAAGATGTTGAAGAATTGTTAAGTCCAACTGCGGTTTTGAAGAATGATCCTAACCAGAGTAAATTTGTTAATTCTTTGCTTGATGTTAGTGATGTTGAATTTGGTGTTAAAAATAATTTGGGTTTGGAGAAAAAGATTGTTGATTTGTCCAAAAGTGCGATTGGGGATGTTGATGATCGCATGGAATTGAGGACAGTTCCTTTTAAAAGGGGAGGGAATGATGCGAATGCGAAAGGCAATTTAAATGAAAAAGGTGTTGGATGTGAAAAGGCTGATGGATGGCGAAAAGAGTATTGGATGCGAAAGGGGTGTTAGATGCGAATCACCTAATTAACATTAACCCACACCCGAATGGGTCTAAATCTTTCTTTTCCAAAGGCCCTAAGCCTTTTGATAACCGCATTAGGAAACGATTCGGAACAGGGCGCTACATAGATCCAATAGGTTGCATGTGAACTTAGGGTTAAGTTTTTCCACCACATATTTTTTTGTAATAGGTTGCATAGTTTTTCCATGCGTATTCTAGGTTGATTTTAATTCAAATCAATAGGTCTTGATTTGTCTTCATCGATACTCAATCTATAGGTCTAGATTGTTTATCAAATCTATCATTTTTCTTGTTTTCTTGTCGAGCAAGTTATCATTGTTCTATTTTCTCGTCGTTATTCTTGTTTTCCGTTGCGTCAATAAAATCAGAAAACCCAAAAAGAAATCAAACCCCCCGTATTCGTATCATATGTGGTATCAAAGTGTCATTCGAATCAAAACGAATCAAAAATCTAAATATCTGAATCAAATAGTTCAATTTAAATGGTGTAATTGGACAGAGAATGAACAACCTAAGCTTACAAATCATTATCCCATAGTTTATGGTATAGTTTTTTCATAAAAAAAGATTTTTTTTTGTGTAATATTATTAAAAAAATAATTGTGGCAAGTTCTTTCACACAATGTAACATTTGACGCCATCTTAATTACATATAAAAACAAAACAATGAAAATTAAAACTTAATCTTACTAGTATTATAAATTATACGAGGGAATAAGTATGGTGGAATCGAATTTTTGTAAATGTATCATCTCTGTAATAATGCATCAAAGACCGTCAATCATCTCTTTATTGGGTTGTAAAGTGACGATGTCTTTAATGACGCTTAACCGCTCGTTGGTGGTATACCCGGTCCTTTTGTTTTGGCAAACGATTGGCTTTGTTGGGTGATCATCTTTCGTTTTGCGTTACATAAAAAAAAGGTTTTTGATGCGGTTGTTTCTCACAAAAATTTTTTTTTTTTTTTTTTTTGATTTTTGATTTTGATTTTGATTTATTTATTTATTTATTTTTGCAATCCTGGCATTTTTCAAACCACGAAGCCGAGGAAATAAATTATTTTTGATACACTTGTTGCTATTTTTTTTAACTGGATTTCAAGTATAACGAACAACAACAAGACTGTATTCAAAACTAGCAAATATGCTAGAAAATTATAATATATCGTACAAGGCTCCTTAAGCCAATCTATCCACACAATTCCTTAGAACAATTGCATAAAACATAGACCACGAGCGGTCTAAGTCCGGTCTTATATCGGTTTGTGATTGAGACTCAACGGTCTTGAGTCAGTTTTACCTTCAGATCGGGCTTATGATTTGTATTTGAAAAAACGGTGTTGACTGGTCTCATTTCGGTCTAATCAATCTTGGACCACTAGGACCCGTATCACCATCATTTTTTCCCAATAAATCGTCCTAGTAATAACACCCATGGGTTCCAAGCATTTTTATCTTTCTTGTATTTTCCCATTCCAAGATATTAGCTATCTGATGCAAGTTTACCTATTCTTTTTGGTATTCACCTTAATAAAATATCGTATAATTTAAAGTTTAATATTCTTGGATCTGTGACCGCTAGGACCAAACCCATGACCAAAAAAAAGACTTCGATTGCTTGAATCCTAATTTGGTCACATCTAATTTACAAATACAAAGGGATCCTGTTGTTTTCACCCAAAAGATTAAATGGATTAACTTGCTACCGGAAATTAATTAAGTTGACATTTTGTGGATAAATAACTCCCTGTTTCTCCACATCTTATATATGTCCTTAAAAATTTTTTTTTTATAGCTTAAAAGGGACATAAAACATGAAAATAAACACATAACAACTTATCATGAGAGGAGATTCAACTTATAAACCTTCATGGTCAAACATTTGCAAGTTTAGAAGAAGACAATATCAGTCATCACTACAGACCTCTTCCAACAACTCCATAAACCCCTTACCATTACTACACTCATTACTAGTATTAGTAGTAGTCTGTCCATGTCCCAACAGATGCTTTGAACCGAAGCTCATGACCAGTTGCTGCTTCAAATCGCATCCACAATTCTTTCTTTAAAGATTCTCCCCAACACGCTTCCCTCTTAAAACCGTTGGTCAAGATCCTTACACATTGGCGTACTTCAATAACTCCTGATAAAATTAAATCCACAAATCCAAAAGTCAAACAATACACAGTAACTAACAAAATTTAAATGGTTGTGTACAAGTGGAGGAGAGAGAAAAAAATCAAAAAAACAAAACGTAATTACAAAAAAAAAAAAAACATATGTACCTTTATCGCGAGGCTTGTGGAAGTTTATGTCAACATCTTTAATCACAACTTTATCATCATCACTAGGCGCCAACAAAACACAAGTCTTAGGTGTGAAATACACCAATTTGGTGATGCTTCAACCGCTTTTCTTGAATTTCCCATTTTATCCCCATGTTTAATTCCAAAAAGCTCTGGATATTTCAAACCTAAATGTCCATAACCTTGACTACTACTAGAAGAAGGTTCAGAATCTCCACCACCATTGATTGCAGCATTCTTAACACCCCCATTAGTCTTCTTGTTGTAGTGTTCAGAAGCAGGTTCTAATAATATACAAGACTTTGGTGGTGACATTTTTAAGTAAGGAGTAGAAACAATGATAGAATTATTATCATTATTAGTAGTATTGTTCCTTTTTAACACCTTTTCAGGTGAAGAAAATTCACTGGTGGCAACAGGAAGATCATTGGTTATGTTCTTGAATACTGATTTGGAGGATTTCTTTAGTTTGGATGTGAATGCTGAAGGTTTAGGCAAAGGGGTAAGCATGAAAAGGCTTCTACCACCTTCTTGAGTACACTCAGCATGCCATGATACTAATGGTGAAGGAGAAACCATGAAAATCGAGTTTGTATGATCTTGGTTTTCAAGAGGTTTGTTATAGAGAAAGGATGGAGGTGTTATCTTCTTACTTGTTGCTAGAAGTTGTTTCTAATTGATTCTTGGAGACTGTTGTATCATTGGTTGAAAGAAATTTCTGGAATCTTGGAATCCATGGCTGTGTTTGGGAAATCAATGAAGAAGGTTAGAATGATACACAATGGGAATGTGAGAAGGGTACTGAAAATATTGGCTATGTGTACCTTTAGTGAGGTTTGCATTTTGTTCAATAGGTGAGCAAAAGATTCAATTTCTTTCTTGTTCCTCACTTTTTGTTCCAATGCTTGTACTACAAGTTCATCGATCTGCAACATGAGGGTTTGAGTCATTCAGAAGTTCTAAATAAACATAAGGGGACAAATGTCAATTGGCATTAACAATACAAAATGCATTGTTTCTTGAATGTTTCATAGCATTTGTAGTTGCGAATGGAAAAAAGCATCTACTCTATCTCACACAATCACAATGAATGTTCAAGTTCAATACAGGTGCAGATGACCATGTCTCTATAAGTTTTTATCAGTCATATGACATGGTTAATTAGCCTAACTTTAAGCCATCAAATTTCACCCCTGGTGTTATCACTCACAAATTAGTCCAGCTTCACGAACTAATAAGTCTACTGTTAGTTGAGACGAAATGGAAGTGATATAGAACTAGAACACGATAAACCTCTCTTGAATGTGAAGATATGATGTAAAACCTACATCGAGCGACAAGAAACGCCCAATTTTCAAAAAGGAACATTCAGAGAGCTTAAAATTTTGGTCAAAACCTTGATTTAATCATCCCGGAAGTTCTTGCGAGTAGAATAGTATAACATTGTTCTCAAAACTTGAAAGTTACCTGGTGAATGAGGACGGAGAGATCGGAGTGAACAAGGAGAAGTCGATCGAGTGGGTCTCGGCTTGCGCCGTCGCCACAAATTGTAAACGGATCTTGCTGTTGGGTATCGGCGGTCGATTTCTGAATTACCGGATTACGAACGGAAGATTTGAAACCACCATTTGAGACGTCTCTGAGAGGCTTCCTCGTCGATCTGGCTTGGATTTGACGTCGGCGATCTTTGGCATTCTTCTCTTCTGGTCCTAACGGTAACCTGAGCGAGCGACTCCCTCTTCTCTGTTATTTTCGAGTTTTCAAATCTTGGATTTTCGCGTATCATTTGTTCCGGATATTGCCCACATTCCTTACATTTATATTCAAATTTATTTTGATTAAAAACTTCAAATTATATGATTGTATATTTTTATTATCTCTATTATATATAACTTAAGATGATTTTGGGCGATTTTTTGCAAAGAACGTTTTTCTAGGCTATGGTGGCATCCCTAATCGGGCTTGATCTGAGAATAACAATCTCTAGAACGACCTTCTTTTTCTGACGTGGTGTTCGTTTAGAAGTGACCATTCAGTTGGTTTTTGTTACGAGTTATGTTTGGCTGTTTAGTGACAATTTTTGATCTTTCGTCAGGTGTTGTGCTTTTTCACCTATCGTGAAATTCTTGTGCCCTCCAAGATGCATTGTAACCAATTGGATTGTTCAGATGCTTCCTTATTGATTTAATTGTAATTATTGGAGCATAAAATGTTCTACAAGGTGAATCATTGTTAGGTTAGAATATTATCTTGTAAAAATATATTCCTCCACCGTATATAAAATAAAGGTGTGTGGTCATTTGTAAGAGTACAACTTGTATCACATAATCAATGTTTTAAAAAATCGGTTTTTTAGTTGAACCGGTATGGTGACGGTTTCCGGTTCAACCGGTTTAACCGTTCGACCGTTGACTAAACCGTTTCTATAATTTTTCATATTTTTTCGTATTTTTCTACACATACATAGATACACAAATCAAGAATTTGATATCCACAAGTTCAAACATTAAAATACACATGAAACAAGTTGTAGATCAATCTACATACATTAAAATAACTCATAACCATAAGTGCATTAAAAAGAAAATAAAGTTCTAAATGAATATAAACGCATCAAAAAACTCATAACATTTATCAATGTCTTTAATTCAGAAATTTTCTAATAAATGTGAAAATACTACCAAAGTTTATTATGCAAAAGGTTTCAATTCATTGTTTTTATTCAATTTAACCGGTTTAATTGAACCAGT